TAATTGAGTTCACAAATATTGATATGCAACAAATTATAAGGTTTTTCTTTAATGATAAGAGGGAAATTTTTATACATAGATGGAAAGGCCAAGTACTTGAATATTAACCTTTATAGTTTAGCTTATTTTGATATGTGCCAGAACTATAAAATGTTTGAGTTAGTTGTACAAGTTATATTTTAAATATCAAAACATAAATGCAAACACAATCATTGTGATTTTGTTAGTAGGGCATATAAGAGTTTGCGTTCAATTTAGTTGCTCTCTTTTAGACTTTTTAGTAAAATCTCTATATACATCTGTCAGACATACATATTGTCTTAAAGAAACAATATTAAAACTAACTAAAATAAAAAAATTTATTTATATATATTTATTTATGAAAACATTTTAGAAATAGTGACATTTTGAGGCTTAATTATTCAGATTATTGTCCAAACGTAACATTACAAAATCTATTGAAAATTTTAAAATCGCTTTCTAAATATATATAATAGTTTTTGAAATTTGTTTTGCATCAATTATACTACAACAAATACATGTTGAATTGTTGGATCATTGATACATGACAAATATCATAAAACTCACGCTATATTTGATATATTTTTAAAAGCTTTCACAATATATGATAAATATAATATATAATTTTGTTTATTAGGTAACTAATATTTATTTATTATTTAATTATGATTAATAAACAATAATAATTCTCACTCTACTTCGAAGATTCCTTTGTAATTAAAATTAATTGAATTCAATCAACATCTAGTAGTTTATGATATTGGCAAAGTCAAAAAGAATTGCCTATTCAATTGGCTATACATTATGCATCCAAAAAATGAATGACTAGGAATTGAGTTAATTATTTTTAGAAGTCAATATATGGTGGATTGAGTATTTTAATTTGTTAATTCAATCTATTACGCTTATATTTATTGAAATTTAATAGTTATCAAAATTTTTGGAAAATTATCACATATCTATCTCTATTCAATATTGAAACCAACAAATATATATACAATCATACTTGAGCTTTACATCAGTCACTTGTCTTACTTTAAATTAAAACATGCGCGTAAAGAGATAAAGAAAAAAATTAATTTTTTATTTGAGTGAAACACCTTACATAATTTTTTTAAGTCATTTCATACAACTAAGTAACTAGGGTAAAAACTTATTCTGTTGAATGTTTACAATAATCTAATTAAGTTAGTTTTAACAATTAAAAATTAAAGAGAAAATTCATATTTCTTAAACATGGTTAAATGATGTATGTAAAAATCATATCTTATATTATTAATTTAAGGTAACAATTGATATAAGTAAGTATACTATTTATCACTTACTACTAGTTTAAGTTATATGACACATACTAAATTAGTAAATTTCAAATTGTGAAGGAGGAATTAACTCTACATGAATGATTATCCTACAATTTTCTATTCTCAAGTAATGTATGTAATTATTTCTTGAGTGAATAATTTCTTGTGAAATAGTTTAAGTAGCACAGCCTATAATATGAATCATTATCCTAATTTTTTCATTAATTGGCTCTAATTTATAAATTAGTATGTACTAGCACTAATGTTCTTTGCAGTTGACTCAAAAAGTCCTATTTTATACATATCTAAAGTGTCCCATGTGTAACGTAATCTTTTAAAAAAATTTAGTCCATTTTAATCATAGTATATTTTTAGTTTGATCAATCAATCATAAGTCATTAGGAATTACTTTTTCGTTCTTATAGTAAATATGTTGAAAGAGTCATAAGCCATTAGGAACTTCTTGATTAAGGATTTGAATTATTATTTTTTGTTTTTATTCTGATTTTAGCTATGATTTTTAAAAATAAATGATGTAATTTTTTAAAAAACTTTAATCAATTCAAATCATCGTATATTCTTATTTTGATCAATCAATCATAAGCCACTGGGAATTACTCTTTCGTCCTTATAGTAAATATGTTGAAAGAGTCATAAGCCATTAGGAACTACTTGATTAAGGATTTGAGTTATCATTTTTTTGTTTTTATTCCGATTTTAGCTATGATTTTAAAAAATAAATAATGTAATTTTTTTTAAATTTTAGTCAATTTAAATCATCGTGTATTTTTAGTTTGATCAATCAATCATAAGCCACTAGGAATTACTCTTTTCGTCCTTATAGTAAATCTTTTCGTCCTTATAGTAAATATGTTGAAGAGTCATAAGCCATTAGGAACTACTTGATTAAGGATTTGGATTATCATTTTTTATTTTTATTTCAATTTTAGCTACGTATTTAAAAAATAGATAATGTAATTTTTTTAAAACTTTAGTCAATTCAAATCATCGTATGTTTTTAGTTTGATCAATCAATCATAAGCCACTAGGAATTACTCTTTTCGTCCTTACAATAAATATGTTTGAAGAGTCCTAAGCCATTAAGAACTACTTGATTAAGGATTTGGATTATCATTTTTTATTTTTATTCCGATTTTAGCTATGTTTTTTAAAAATAAATAATGTAATTTTTTTAAAACTTTAGTCAATTCAAATCATCGTATATTTTTAGTTTGATCAATCAATCATAAGCCACTACGAATTACTCTTTTCGTCCTTACAGTAAATATGTTGAAGAGTCATAGGCCATTAGGAACTACTTGATTAAGGTTTGAATTATCATTTTTTGTTTTTATTTCGATTTTAGTTATGTTTTTTAAAAATAAATAATGTAATATTTTTTTAAAACTTTAGTCAATTCAAATCATCGTATATTCTTAGTTTGATCAATCATTCATAAGCCACTAGGAATTACTCTTTCGTCCTTATAATAAATATGTTGAAGAGTCATAAGCCATTAGGAAATACTTGATTAAGGATTTGGATTATTATTTTTTGTTTTTATTTCGATTTTAGCTATGTTTTTTTAAAAAAAATAAGTAATGTAATTTTTTTAAAACTATAGTCAATTCAAATCATCGTATATTCTTAGTTTGATCAATCAATCATAAGCCACGAGGAATTACTCTTTTCGTCCTTATAATAAATATGTTGAAGAGTCATAAGCCATTAGGAAATACTTAATTTGGATTATCATTTTTTGTTTTTATTTCGATTTTAGCTATGTTTTTTTAAAAAATAACTAATGTAATTTATGTTAAACTTTAGTCAATTCAAATCATCGTATATTTTTAATTTGATCAATCAATCATAAGCCACTAGGAATTACTCTTTTCGTCCTTATAGTAAATATGTTGAAGAGTCATAGGCCATTAGGAACTACTTGATTAAGGTTTGAATGATCATTTTTTGTTTTTATTTTGATTTTAGCTATGTTTTTTAAAAATAAATAATGTAATTTTTTAAAAACTTTAATCAATTCTAATCATCGTATATTCATAATTTGATCGATCAATCATAAGCCACTAGGAATTACTCTTTTCGTCCTTTTAGTAAATATGTTGAAGAGTCATAAGCCATTAGGAACTACTTTGATTAAGGATTTGGAATATCATTTTTTGTTTTTATTCCGATTTTAGCTATGATTTTTAAAAATATGGAATAATAGCTATGAAGTTTAAAAATATCGAATAAAATAGGAGGACGACTAGTGTTTTTTTTTCCGTTTTTAGCTATGAAGTTTGAAAATATCGAATAAAATAAGAGGATGACTAGTTTCAAACTTGCAGCCTTATGGTGCGAAGTGAAATTTAATACCACCACTTCACATAACAACTATCTATTAGAGTCATTTAATTTATTTATATATGAATGTCGTAATTTTGTATTTCATATAAATCAATATAAAATACATACTTTAACTAACGTGCATTATCGTTGGTGGTGCACCCGTCGTCTTCAAATCTCTGCTTCGTCTCTGATGCACACATGACCACCATGATAATTCCTTTTGCAAAATGATGTATAGGCATTTTACAAAATGTTATCGCATGTAAGATCATTATAAAATTTTTAAATAAAAGGTTTCAATGAAACTCACTCTTACAATACTTTTTAGCCGAGTGACATAATACTCTCCAAATTTTGAGCTGCAAATTGTTCTCAACTTTCGATTCGACATTTTTAATCATAATTATGAGTTTGAATCTTCTTGAACACGGAGTCTGGTGAGTAATAGTGAAAGGAGGGGCCTCTATGCCATAAGTTAAAAGATTTGGGTTTATTTCATATAAATTCTAATTTCCTAATTATGAATTAGTAAAAGGGTAAAATCGTCTTTACACTTATTGCTAGCCTTCCTAAAAGCCTTCCTATCTTCTCCACTGTCACTACAAAACTTTTCTATACTCCAATTGGCTCTTTCAATCACACACCATGGCCACGCGCCACCTTCTTAACCTCACGCGCCGCCGCTCTCGAATCACTCCCTTCACCGTTCTCCCACCATGCATTACCTTCTCTTCTCGATCCTCCACCTCCATAACCAACCCCTCCCAATCCCCCTCCTTACCCTCCCCACCTCCCCCAGACGCCATGATCTACGATCGCTTAGCTGAACAAGTCAAATCGAAGATCAAACGCCTCGAAGACCCGAACCCGAGATTCCTCAAGTACAATTCCCCCGATCCTACTGTAGCAGATCACACCTCAATCCTATCAGCACCGGAGACGAAAGTCACTACTCTTCCTAATGGTCTTCGTGTTGCTACGGAATCGAATTTGTCTTCACAGACAGCTACTGTTGGAGTTTGGATCGATGCTGGATCGCGATTCGAAACTGAGGAGAATAATGGCGTTGCTCATTTCCTTGAGCATATGATTTTTAAAGGAACTGAGAAGAGGCCAATTAGGGCATTGGAAGAGGAAATTGAGAATATGGGAGGGCATTTGAATGCTTATACTTCTAGGGAGCAAACTACTTATTTCGCCAAAGTTTTGGGATCTGATGTGCCTAAGGCAGTTGATATTCTTGGGGATATTTTGCAGAATTCTCTATTGGAGGAAGATAAGATTATTCGAGAGCGTAGTGTGATTCTTCGCGAAATGGAAGAGGTATGAGGCAAGAAACAAACGATTTTTATTGATTCGTAATGTATAGTAGAAGTATCTAATTTTGGTTTCAATTTGGACATTACTTGATTAGAAACTAGTACTACAAATCACAATCTTTTAGAATTAAGGTATTTAGGAAGTGTGTGAGAAAAATGTAGTTAAACGGAAAAACAGGTTGAATCCCTAGTATTAACAATGTATGTAAAATGAGTACCAATTATTCTTAAGATATACCAAAAAAAAAAATTCTTGTCTTTAAGAAAGTATGATTGAAATGCAACTGTCCTTGAGAGTTTTGGGTGATTCAGATGGAAGAAGGAAGTTGCTACTTATAATAGGAGCTGTATCAATTGCTAATCCATTTGAAGTTAATGATCTAGAGTATTCTTTGTTTAGTTAAGAACCTTCTTATTTAAGTAGGATACGTAACCAGAAGTTTATGTCCTGTTCCACTACTGTGGTTCAGAATATAGCGATTCTACTTTACGCTCGTAGGTGCAGCTGATAGAGGGATCAAATGGTATATAGTTCATTTTTGGTAGCTTGAAGAAAGGAAAGCTCCTACTCTAGTCATTGAGTGACATATAAAATAAGGAGACATCTTTATGCATGCAAAATATCTATTCCAAACATATATGCTATGGTTCCTTACTTCGACAGGGTACAAATATCTAAATTGCTTCAGCGGCTGCAATGGCTATAACAAAAATTGAGAAAATGTCTCCTTTTAATTGACGATGCTCTCTTTTTAGCTTTCAAAGCCAGTAGTTTAAAGATGACATTTACAATGATTTTGTCAAAGTGAATGTTTCCAATCTCAGAGAAAGCTGTCACTTTTATCTAAAGAATCCTTGCAAAGTATTTTGAGACCATTTACAGTAAGATGAAAATGTGCTATGATGATTACAACAAATTTTATGCTGTAAAGCTAGATTAAGCAGCAGGTTGAAAGTTTCTAATTTTTTTGACAATATATATCTACTAATAGTTCCTTTATTCGATTCTTGACTGGTTGGAGTGATGGAATTTCATCTTTAACTTTAGCCTGTGCAGAAATAGGCTATATATTTGATGTTTTTCATAATACCTCCGTTCATTTCTCTGCTGTCTGTAATTGATTGCCTAGTATGTTTACTTATGTTGAGATATCTGATTTTGCACACTGGAGAGACTATGTGAGACTGAAAGGCTGTCGTGAACAACCATCTAGTAGAGGAAGTTGAATCAAAAGAATAAATAAATGGATAGAAAATTGACTCTAATAAATTCTTAGCTAATGAAATGGTTAAATTGATTAAAAAGAAAGGGAATTTTTGGCAGTGTAGATGTCCTCATCTATTTAGTGCCAGTAACTTGGTCAATGTTTTTTCTTTCTTGGATTGATATTATTGCTATCTTCATTCCTGTACCCAGTGTTATAGTGGTCCTGGCTGTCCGCTCAGAGGCTATCTTGCTTGCAAATCATTCTGATTCTATATGAAGACAATGGTCAGTAACTGCAATGATTTCAAATGGTATGCCTAGTTTGTCTCTAGTCAGACTAAACAATAACCTCTTTAGCTTCTCCAATAATGGGTAACCCTAGTTGGCCATGTAACCTTTCATTGATGTCCTTGTAGATCTGTTTAACGGGTGTATTTTTTCATGGGGAGTCAGGTAGGTTTTCTTTATGTTACACTGTTAATTCTTCTGTTGGAGACTTATATTTTAGTCGAGGAGTTTGTATCTGTACTTGGTAAATTTTTCATTGAATCTCAATATTTGTGATTCTTCATGTTGGACAATCTTCTTGTAGGTGGAAAAACAACCCGAGGAAGTCATCTTTGACCAGTTACATACTACTGCATTCCAATACACTCCATTGGGTAGAACTATTCTTGGACCTGCTCAGAACATTGAGAAAATGACAAGAGCTCATATACAAGATTACATTTCAACCCACTATGGTGCTCATAGAATGGTACGGAACCTGTCATAGCTGATGCATTATCTGTTGGCGACTTCCTTGCTTACTAGCTTCTTCTGTTAAAAAAGATACTACTGGGATTCACCCTTTATTTCGAATTGAATTTTATTGATTTCATTGTAGTCATGTCAAAAGATTTCCACTTTTTTACCTTCTCTAAAGGAGCAAACATTAAAGTGATCCCACTTCTACGCTTCCTTGATCCAAATGAATGACAATCTGTCCTTTCCAGTGTGGTATCATATGACCTTCCATTCCAAGCCTAGTCATGTATATCTCAAACGCATAAAAAAAAATCCCGTGAGCACAAAAAAAGGGAAACTAGTGTTTTGTTATTTTTTTGTTTTTGATCAAACTTCTACCACACTAAAAGCGTCATTTAAGTCTTTGCTGTAGGTAATTTCTGCTGCCGGAGCTGTGAAGCATGAAGAAGTTGTTGAGCTAGTGAAGAAACATTTTACAAAACTATCATCTAATCCTATTACCACTTCCCAATTGGTGTCAGAAGAGCCAGCAATATTTACAGGTTCAGAGGTGTGGATAAACTACTTAGTTATTTACTCTTCTAGTTTATGTATTTTATATGAACCTTTTTACTGATTTTTGTTCTTCTTCCACATAAATAGATACGTATCATTGATGATGATCTGCCTCTCGCTCAATTTGCTGTTGCATTTAGTGGAGCGTCATGGACAGACCCTGATTCCATAGCTTTGATGGTCATGCAACAAATGCTCGGATCATGGAGCAAAAGTTCAGGAGGAGGAAAGCACATGGGGTTGGTCCTTTTCATTTGCTTAAATTACACAAAAGTTAATTTTTTTTTTATGAATCAAGAGAAGTTTTTGAGTACTACCAGCAGCCTAAAAGTGCCCCTTAGAGAAAAGGACAATAGGAGTATTATTTGTTGATTCGTAATGCTTCATTTATTTTGGTTGAGTTGTTCTTTTCTCCATAAAATAGAAAGTTACTGAATTTGCTATCTTTCATGGGTATATGATCTTTGAACAGTTCAGAGCTTGTTCAGAGGGTGGCCATCAATGAGCTAGCTGAAAGTGTGATGGCTTTTAACACCAACTATAAAGATACAGGGCTGTTTGGTGTCTATGCTGAAGCTAAGGTTAGAAGAAAATTTCCACTACCTTTGTTTAATCAAATCTCAACTACTTCAGTTTCATTAACTTAGTATTATGATGTGATTTGCTGTATAAGGTCTTGTGGTCACTAAACTTTTGTTATCATGGTTCATTTGTTCTCTTGTGAATTGACAACTAGGTCAGGCCATACAAAAGCAAATTGAAATGTAATTCCAACTTTTTCCGTATTAAAGAAAAATAACAATTTGAAATGTAAAAACTAGTGATTGACATCATATTCGGTAAGTGATTGATGCATTTCTGCAATCAATGTAAGCAATCTTTGCATTAGGACTGTGGCTTTACTCATCCTTGTTTTCTACTTGTTACAGCCTGATTGCCTGAGTGACTTGGCTTATGTCATCATGAATGGTATATGCAAGTTAAGTTACAAAGTGTCTGATGCTGATGTGGTTCGCGCACGTAATCAGGTATTTGTTCACTCCCCAGTTATTCTTTTTCAAATGGAATAGCTGAGTGTTATTTGCCTCCATTTGATTCTAGGGACTTCTACTGTTGACTGCATGTCCTTTTAGCTGTATCAAGAACTTATATTTTCTTAATCTTCTGCAGCTGAAATCTTCTTTGATGCTCCACATTGATGGATCAGGCCCTACTGCTGAAGACATTGGACGGCAGGTAAAATTACATAGAATATATTTATAACCAAAAACAATTATAGGAGCAAGTGTTTGGTTCCTTAGGTCTGGTACATTTTAGTCTCCTTGTTCCTAACTCCATCAAGCAAGGCTCTACTATCATCATAAAAATAATGTAAGATAAAATAAAGGCTCTGCTATAGAAGGAAAAAGAGGGAACATACGTCGGCAATGCCAACCAATAAGTAAAGAAGAAGAATCTTAGCGGAGGCAAAAGAAGCTAGGTAATTTCTTTTCATCTACCTAAACTTTGGTAGGAAGAGTTATCCGGTACCTGTCCTAACGGGAGGTAATATGTATTTGGTGGAATAGTCTAGGTGCACAAGTTTGTCCATGTCACTTTTCCTTTAAATAAATGGAACCTAGATGACTAGGTGGTAGGAGCATTGCATATAGTTAATACATTTCCTCTCGTCAGTATAGCAGATCGTGTTCTGTTTGCTGGATTCTTTGCTGTCAAATGGATTGCCGTGATTGCATTCTAGTTCCTTGACACCTCCCTTTATAATCACTGAATTTACTTACAGTTGAAAGTTTCTTTTTTTATTGCAGTTAATCACATATGGCCGCAGAATTCCATATGCTGAGTTATTTTCCAGAATTGACAGTGTCGATGCTGGAACGATCAAGCGAGTTGCAAATCGTTTTATTTTTGACAGGGTAAGTCCCTAAGGCCTTCTTTACATCTACTTTTAGTCAATAACTATTTATATAGGCTATAAGTTGGTTATTTTATTAACACGCCATAAAACTATATGAATTACATCTTATATTTCCTGAACCACTACAAATACAAGAGGATTAAAACTATCTTTTTAATATGATTTTCCCTTTGTAGGATGTTGCAATATCAGCTAGGGGACCAATTCAAGATTTGCCTGATTACAATTGGTTCAGACGCAGGACATACTGGCTGCGGTACTAGATTGCTAATTCTTTCCTGATGACTTAAATTCATCTTCTTTTCCCAGTCGTAATCGTGACATTGGGCATTATACCACACATGGTCTACAAAACACTTTTGTCAATAAAATGAGCGACAAATTTTGTTGATCACTTTTGTTTTTTGTACATGGTGTTCATGTCAAGGAGAATACATTACTTGCTTCTGCCTTTGGCTGTCGATTCAGTCAGCATAAAGTTGCATCTCTTTCTTCTGCAATATATTTCGAAAATTGCATCAACTATTTTCCCTGTATTAGCATTCTTTGGGTAAAATATACCATTTGTGGTACTGGCTTGTTATTTATACACATACTTAACATCTCTCTCTCTCCCTCACTGCGTTGGTTGAAACTTTACTTCTGTTATTCAAGTTTTACTGGTTTGCTGTCTTCAACCAGCTTGTTCCGATGAACTTACATCATCCTCGACTATTTCATTAGCTACCTCTCACCAGTTAAACCCGCAGTTAACTCTACTGACAGATGTGTGAAGAACTCTGCTTAGGCAGATGCGAAAAAATCACTTAACATTAGTTGGGACGAGCATTTACTGATTGTTTTTTCTTTCTTTCTGAAATAAGCATTTAACATGGTACATATTATGGACAACTGACTATTTTCTGTGAATTACTTTGATACCTTTGAACATTCAGTCTTGTCTGTGGCGAACAATGTTTTAAAGGCGGGGATGCAAGGTGAGGTGTTATACCTAGCACAAGACGAGAGGTAAGTTTCATGGATCTACGAGGCGTACCTACGACTTATGAAAATAAGAAAAAGTAAGAAAATAAGAATATATCAATTATAAAATTCTCATTTTATTACTAAGAAAATAAAAAAAAAGAGTAAAATATTCAATAATTCTGCAAATAAATTTAAACAAAACAAGAATAATATAGAAAAAAAAATATTATGATTTTTTATTTGAGTAAAATAAAAACACTAAAATGATAATATCCGAGATAATATTTAATTTGAAGTTATCATCTACATCATCATCGACTTCCAAAATGGGTGGGGTATGTGTCAAGTCTAAAAGAGTAAAAAATGGGTGAGGTAATTATTTTCAAATTAAAAAATTAACTTTAAGATTTTTTTTTTTTGAAATTCAGTAAATATGAATTTGTTAACGAAAAAAGGAAATATATTCTTTTTGTTAGACAAAGAAAAACATATATCAGCTCAAAATAAATTTATGGCGAAGACTTTTTCCTTTTGAAAATCTTGACTTTTTTGATCTTTTCTTTTTTTCCTCGTAATTTCATATAAAGGTTTTATTTTTAAAATAAGAGGAGTTTTAACACACGATGAAGTTATTCATATGGTAAACACTTTCACTTCTAATCTTAATGTTGTTGGTTCAATTCAGCAGCTCGGCAAGAAAGTTAGAGTTCCTAGGAAATGCGTTAAAAAAAATAAGTTTCTTCAGAGCAGTCTTTGAGCTCCCACTTCCTTTCCAATTTGATAACTCGAACTCACAATATTTAGATTGAAAGTAAAGAGTGACTACCATTTGAATTATGTTCAATCAAAGTCTTGTCTCCGAAATACCTTTATGGAGTTGTGATGGAAAAGAGCAAAAAATGTATGCATTTCCTTAAGGAAACAATCTCCCCCTGAAAATTTTTTCCTGATATAATTAGTTCAAGTTTCACTTTATTCTTGTCTTCTAATTGTAAGTTAGGTAACTAATCCTTTTCATCTTTTATATTATACTTTAACCAAATTAAGTTCAATTCCAAATTAAACTTATCTCACTACAATTATACAAATGCAATGAAGGATCTATAGTTTTAAGGATATAAAATTTTGTATTGATAGAATAAAAAGGAAGAAATTAATGTCATGGGGAAAATGTTTTTCCTTGTAGTAAATGCAAACTTTTTTGCTCTTTCCTTTTTTCAATCACAACTTGACAACAAGAGGGATTGCTTAGATGGTAAGCAACCTTCAACCTTAAAGTTGCGGATTTGAATCATCAAGGAAGCAAAAAGGCGAGAGTCCCTAGATAGGAGTTAAGTCCGAATAGACCCTAAAGTAGTGCTCTAATGATGATGGTCATGAATCCGTAATCTTGAGGTTGGAGGTTG